AGCCCTCTCTGGAGCAATCAGATCAATAAATGGATGAAACCCAGGCCTGCCATCTTTATTAACACCATAAGGGATGCCAGGGCCTGGGGGCCCGGCTTTGCACAGTTTTGTTTGCTGCACAAACATTTAGTGAGCATCTGCTCCGTGCCAGGTTCCCACCTCATGCTGGGGGTGCGGCCATGAGGAAGACAGACGAGGTTGCCAGCAGGTCTGACGGTGCAGGTGGGGAGGCAGTAGGTTCGCGTGGGGTGATGGTTCTGGCCGTGAATAACTTTGGCAGAGTAATGATGCTAGAACGTACTTGGGCCCCAGTGGTCAGGGAGGACATCAAGGAGGGGTCACCCCAGCTCCACAGTGACGGGAGAGGAGCCAGCAGAAGAGCTTCCTGGGCAGGGGTCCAGCTTGTGCAAAGGCCCTGTGATGGCAGCAGGTCAGTGTGCCCAGGCCCTGCAGGGGGAAGTGCAAAGTCAGCCCCTGAGGACTCACACTGTTCTCTGAAAGACCTAATGATTCTGTCAGTTTATATTGATGGAAATCCAGGGAATGTGGGTGGGAATGGGCATTAAGGGATGGGATGATGGTGGAAGGAATATAAATTTGTATTAGGCTGAATTTATCGATAGGGGCTCACTAAGAGATCCTGAACTTAATGTTGGTGCTCATGGGATGAGAAAGGGCCTGACAGTTTGATCGGTCAGTCAGCGGAAGCATGAACCAGGAAAGGTGGCCCAAGGGACACGAGCCAAAATTCCAGACCTGCCTGTGTAATACAGGATGGGATCAAAGGCTTAGGGAGGCTGAAATGCTGGGAGGATCTCATTTCAGGCCGGCTCACCCACCAGGGAGGGTCCAGGGGTCACACTCACCGGGATGATGCGGAGTTAATGTGTGGGGGGGCGGAGCCCAGCATCCTGTAAGAGCTCTGTGGGCGGGGAACCTACACGCAGTGGGAGTCGCTGGGTCCGGAGGCAGGGGCGGTGTGGCTGCGCTTGGCCGCCCCAGACCAGGAGGGTGTGGTTACCGACAGAGGAGTAGGGTAGCGGTCCGAACATCCGCATGCAGCCTGTGGTGGTGGCGAGTTGATTGCGGTGTTCCTAGAAGTGAAAAAGATGGGAAGCCTACTGAATTCTTACTTAGTATGTATAAGCAGAAGGGTTCTAGGTCAGGGAGCCGAAGTGTATCTTGAATCATAAAAACGCAGTCATAGCCCCTCACTCACTCATTCCCAGACTCGAGGAGGTTACAGACCCCAAACTCCTTGGATAAACTAGAGGCGGCGACCTCCTGAGCTAGGACCCTGGTCTACTGCCAGAAGTTCATACCCTCCGTCCGTCTCCCGACCTTCCCCAGGGGGATCTATGCCACGGTGACTGTGCTGGGGAAGGAAAAATCAGGCACTCTGGGGGCTCCTGGACTCCGACTCGACTGATGCCAACCCCAGGAGATGACATGTGTCACTGTCAGTATGGTTAGCTGTCAGGTGGTCGGTGGAGTCTTAGCTCAGGTCTGTCTTACAGTGGGCCCAGTGGGCCCCCAAACCCACCCTGTGATCATTTTGCCAGTTCTGAGTGTGTAAGTGAACAGACATAGTTGGCATCGGAGCGTCCCCACACTGGGGGAAGCAGAGCCCACAGGTGTGAGGGCGAAGGCGAAGCAAGCAGCTGAGGAGGGGGCAGGGAGAGGCTGGCCAGTGCCCACGGCTCAGCTTGGGACTGTGCCCTCCCCAGACTCCAGCCCCAGGCCTGGGCTCCCTGTGCTGGGGTGGTGTCGCCAGCCTGCACAGGGGCTGCTGGCTCACCTGCTGGGCTTTGGTGGACCGCAAGCTCACTGTGCGGCATGGGCCCTGTGTCCTGTTGGGTGAGGGCACAGGTTCTAAGCACATGTCACTCTGTGGGTTAGATCCCAACGCCAAGCTGTATGGTCAGTGGGTCCTTTGCGCAGAGGAAGGTGTGCGACGGGTGAGTGGGGCCAGCATGGACAGAAAGCACAAAGGAACCCCATTCAGGAGGGCTCCGGCTGCTTGCCTCTTCCTCACAGTGTGGCAGCCGCTTTGTCTAGAGAACATCTCCATCCTGCCCTGTTGGGGGCTGGTACCACTGAAGCTGCCAGCGAATTGCCCTGGGGCTGCAGAGGGTGGCCCTCCACCGCATGATTCCAGCTCCTCCCTCTGCCTGACTTGCTTTTATGTGGACCCCTGTGTGTCCCAAGCTGGTCACTGGCTAAAGTGGGGCCTGTCTTTGGGCTGTCCTGGTCACCTGGGGTCCTGGCTGGCCCTGGGGCTGGTCGTGCTGAGTCTAGCAGCTGGCCTTGGCCAAGTGCAAGCCCACTGTAGGTGAGAAGGGATTGAGCACACAGTGTGTCTTCATGGACATCATCACCCTGAATCTCTACCCTAACCCTAGTGGGGCAGGTTCTCATTCTGCAGGGGAGAAAGGAGGGCTCAGAGAGGGGGAGTGAGTTGCCTGAGGCCACACAGCATGGAAGAACCTCAGGATCTCTCTGCGCACATTTGACCCTTTTCTTTCTTCTTCACCCCAAATGAGAAACAGTGACTCTGAGAAGGCTGCAACCACCTACTGAGCACAGCCAGCATGTTGAAGGTGGCCAGGGATGAGGAGGTAGCCAGCTGAGTGGTCAGCAGGAATTTCTGGACCCCAGGGCCGGGATGGACCTTGGACTTTACTCACCCTTCCCAGCACATTCTGGCCCACCATGTCCCAGACAGTGAACTTGGCCCAAGAGCAGGCTGGCGTCTTCCTGAAATCTGGGCCCGTGCATCTAGGCCATGCCCCTGGGGCTGCCTCTCTGGGCTCAGACCTTTAGCAGGGTGGGCTAAAGAACCTGCTGGTGCCTAGGGGGCTGGTGAGGGGGATGCTGAGGCTGGTATGGATGCTGTGAGGAGCAGTGCCTGGCTGCCTGCACCCCAGGGGCCCCACAACATTTGCACATCCAGGTTCACACCGGGTGGGATTGGGCTGGACAGTGGGCAGGGGGAGGGCTGCAAGCAGTGTGCTTGGAGAAGTAAGCAGGGAAGGGTGAGGCCCCCTCACATCAGGAGCCCAAGCCCCAGGCCGCAGGAAGGGTCTGTCTGTCGGCCAGAGGCCTGCTAGGGAATGGGTGTTCTGAGGAGGGGGCAGGGAGAGGCTGGCCAGTGCCCACGGCTCAGCTTGGGACTGTGCCCTCCCCAGACTCCAGCCCCAGGCCTGGGCTCCCTGTGCTGGGGTGGTGTCGCCAGCCTGCACAGGGGCTGCTGGCTCACCTGCTGGGCTTTGGTGGACCGCAAGCTCACTGTGCGGCATGGGCCCTGTGTCCTGTTGGGTGAGGGCACAGGTTCTAAGCACATGTCACTCTGTGGGTTAGATCCCAACGCCAAGCTGTATGGTCAGTGGGTCCTTTGCGCAGAGGAAGGTGTGCGACGGGTGAGTGGGGCCAGCATGGACAGAAAGCACAAAGGAACCCCATTCAGGAGGGCTCCGGCTGCTTGCCTCTTCCTCACAGTGTGGCAGCCGCTTTGTCTAGAGAACATCTCCATCCTGCCCTGTTGGGGGCTGGTACCACTGAAGCTGCCAGCGAATTGCCCTGGGGCTGCAGAGGGTGGCCCTCCACCGCATGATTCCAGCTCCTCCCTCTGCCTGACTTGCTTTTATGTGGACCCCTGTGTGTCCCAAGCTGGTCACTGGCTAAAGTGGGGCCTGTCTTTGGGCTGTCCTGGTCACCTGGGGTCCTGGCTGGCCCTGGGGCTGGTCGTGCTGAGTCTAGCAGCTGGCCTTGGCCAAGTGCAAGCCCACTGTAGGTGAGAAGGGATTGAGCACACAGTGTGTCTTCATGGACATCATCACCCTGAATCTCTACCCTAACCCTAGTGGGGCAGGTTCTCATTCTGCAGGGGAGAAAGGAGGGCTCAGAGAGGGGGAGTGAGTTGCCTGAGGCCACACAGCATGGAAGAACCTCAGGATCTCTCTGCGCACATTTGACCCTTTTCTTTCTTCTTCACCCCAAATGAGAAACAGTGACTCTGAGAAGGCTGCAACCACCTACTGAGCACAGCCAGCATGTTGAAGGTGGCCAGGGATGAGGAGGTAGCCAGCTGAGTGGTCAGCAGGAATTTCTGGACCCCAGGGCCGGGATGGACCTTGGACTTTACTCACCCTTCCCAGCACATTCTGGCCCACCATGTCCCAGACAGTGAACTTGGCCCAAGAGCAGGCTGGCGTCTTCCTGAAATCTGGGCCCGTGCATCTAGGCCATGCCCCTGGGGCTGCCTCTCTGGGCTCAGACCTTTAGCAGGGTGGGCTAAAGAACCTGCTGGTGCCTAGGGGGCTGGTGAGGGGGATGCTGAGGCTGGTATGGATGCTGTGAGGAGCAGTGCCTGGCTGCCTGCACCCCAGGGGCCCCACAACATTTGCACATCCAGGTTCACACCGGGTGGGGTTGGGCTGGACAGTGGGCAGGGGGAGGGCTGCAAGCAGTGTGCTTGGAGAAGTAAGCAGGGAAGGGTGAGGCCCCCTCACATCAGGAGCCCAAGCCCCAGGCCGCAGGAAGGGTCTGTCTGTCGGCCAGAGGCCTGCTAGGGAATGGGTGTGCCCCGTGGGATCAGAAATCCCCGCCCCCCCCCGCCCCCTCCTCCTGCTGGGTTGCACCATAACTTCCCCTGGCAGTCCCAGTTCCTGCTTGAGAAACAAAATTTTGTGTAGAGCCTCCAGGGCACAGCCTTGCAAGCCCAGGGTTGCATTCTCGGCAGCTGTCTTCTGGTGCTCTGTTAACACCAGCCAAAAGCAGCTGCCAGGCCTGGGCAGGGCAGGGCAGGGCACCCCAGGCAAGGTGGGAGAAAGAAGTCTGTCTGGGCCTGCTTGCTCCCCAGCAGGGCCAGCGCTCCATAAGCGCTTGCAGAATGGGTGAGCGAACTGACAATGCTCGGGACTTGGGTGCATGCATGGCTTTCCTCTTTATCCTGAGTGACAAGTGCCAGGGAGGACCGTGGCCGTGATGGGGTGCGGCCTGTGGCAGGTCCTGAGGGTAGATCCCAGGAACCCCCTGACCCATTAATGCTGTCGGCAAGGACAGCACGTGGGAGGGGCGCCCAGAGACGTGGGCCAGTCACCAAGCGAGCCGCTGTGAGGCCTTAGTAGGGGGCCCAGCGCGATGACCCCCACTTCTGAGTCTACCAGTCGTGAGCCCGCCCCCCGGGCAGTGGGCGCAGGGACCGTGCGCAGCACCGACTGACAGAGGGGCACGCTCGCTCCGCGCTGTGCCTGCTCCCCGGAGGGTCGAGAGGCGCTGCAGTTCCCCGGGGGCGCCGCTAGGGGCGCAGCGACGGCAGCTTCGAGAACCTGGACGCCCCGGGGCCGAGTCCGGCCCGGCCCGCGTAACCCCCGCGCCCGCAGAACCCCGGTCGGGCCCGTCGTAGCCCCACGCGGAGCTCCGTCCTGAGCCCCAACGCCGGCTCCGCCCGGCGCCCCCGGCCGGCCCACAGCCCCTGCAGCCAGCGGTCAGCGCCAGCGTTCCCTGGCCTCCTCGGCCACGCCTGCGCAACACAGTGCCCAGGACACAGGCGGAGGCCCCCTGGTGTCAGAGCGTGCAGGACCGGTGGGGCGAGGGGCCTGTTTGGTGGGCTTCACGAAAGTAACCGGTGCAGGGAGAGCAGCGGAGGGCCACGTTGCCTCCTCTCCCCCTGGCATGAGCAGGGCAGGGCTGGGGCTGGGGGAAGGAAGCTGTGGGAACGGTGGGGGGAGCATGGGTGGAGGCAGGACGCGCCAACCCCTTCTCAGGGCAGCTTGGAGGGACCCACCTGCCCCGTGCCTCCAGCCTCCTCGCCCTGCTCGCGTCCATGCCCTCAGCTTGCACCTGCTGCCACTCCCGCCCCCTTGGGGACACCAGTCTGGGAGCCTGCCTCCACGCATCTTCGCCCACTCTCTCCCCCACAGTAGTGATAGCTCCTAGCTAGCCTCCCAACCAGTGCGATCTTTGCGAAATAATAACCAGACTACGTATCTTTGCTCAGTGCCTCTGGCAGGCTCCATTTCCCCGGCTTGGTTTCCCACTCCAGAAGTGACTGTTTTTATTATCCACACCCCCAGCATCCAGACCCCTGTGCCTGTGCCTCTAGGCCATCCAGACTCCATTCTAGAAGCATACCCCTGTGTTCCTGCCTCCTAGCCTTTGCTGTTCCTTCTTCATCTGCTCCCCACTTGCTAGGATCCTTCTAGAAGGCTTTCCTGGGGCTCTGCCCTAGAGGCTCTCCCTGCCCTCACACTGCAGGGCCCCTGGGTGGGTCTGTGTGTGCCAGCGCAGACTGGGTCCCTCTTCCCCCTTGCAGGTCTCACCCCATCCCAGGTCAAAGAGCTCCTCAAAGTCGGTGGCAACAGCACACCCATCTTGTTGCCTTTCCCGAATGCTGAACTGAGCTGGATGGGATGAATGGATGTCCAATTGCACTGCCTCTGCGAGCTGCACAGCCTCAGGTGGGCGAGCCACAAGGCTGCGTGAGGGTGTCCATAGTCTGGGGTGCAGCGATGCCAGGTCAGCTACCACCCTACCCTTGCCCTGGGTGCTAAGGCTCTGCTTAATGGAGCTTAGGGGCAAGAAGAACAGGGAAGATAGTTGGACAGGAGGGGGGTTGCTGGGGAGGCGGCTGAGAGCTACTTGCAGGTAGGCTCCCTCCACCCCGTACCCTCATGGCCAGCCAGCTCCTGTCTCCAAGCGTGATTTGTTCCGGGTAAAGCTACAGGGACTATCCATGGTTCAGCCCCTGGCATCATGTCTTGGCACGTTTCCCCTCCATCCAGGACATTTACAAGCTACTCTCGGCTTCAAAGGGCTTTGCAGGTGAACTGCTGGAGCAGGAGCAGAGAGGAGATAGGGCACTATGGGGTCTGCCCCCTCTCAGTGCAGCCTTCCTGTGGCCCTGGGCCCCCCCTTTGCCCTCTGACTCCAGTGGCTTTGGGGCGCTTAGTCTCAGGAGTGTGGCTTTTTGCTGAGCCCTCATCCCTTAGCCCAGGAGCTCCTGGTGTGTGTCTGGAGGTAGAGGGAGGGCATGGAAGCCAGAGTTAGGGGATAAGCAATGCCAGAATAGGAGACGAAGATGAAGTCAGTCATTGTTCTTTGAGGAGGGGTGGGAGTCAATTTTGAAGGTCCCGTAGTCAGAGCAGCAAGACAGCACCTTAGGGAGGAGTGTGGTGGGGAGCAGGAGCTGGAGACAGCTTCCCCAGGATGTTTGGCTCAGGCTCTGGGTTCTGGGTCTTCCTAAGGACCAAGCCAAACAAGACTGGCCACATGTCTGTCTGGCCAACTGTGGAGGTGGGGTGCTTCCCCTGGTAATGAGCTGGGGACAGAGTGTAGCCCTCCCAGGGGGTCCTGTCCACTGGCTAGACTGGAATTGCTCCTGGGAGTAGGTCACTGGTATGTGGGGAGATTCAAATTTGGGTCTTAGCATACGCATGCACGCACGCGCACACACACACACACACACACACACACACACACACACACACACACACCATGTGCACACAGTCCTGCACGCTCTAAAGAGCTTAGGGTTCCTGAGCTCCTGAAGGAACATCCTTACAATCACCTTTCAGTCTCTGGGACCCTTGCCAGCCATAGATGGGCAGGCCTGGCCACAGAGCCCTTGCATGGGGCCTGAGGTGGGGGCCCTTGGATGGCACCCAGCCTTCCCTATGACGCTGAGGGGCCTCCATACCCAGAGGCCTGGCTTGGAGCTGTGAAGGTGGAGGAAGTGGGGAGGGTGGGACAGAGAGAGGCCTGTCTCTGTGGGACCCTCCTCTCTTTCCCCTTTAGGGGATGAGGGCTGTTCGCCTCCTGCAGAGCTGGGACTGCCAGTCTTAGAAGAATCACTATATCGGCATAAACTGTGGGGCCAGGCTGGCAGGTGAAACACTGCAGGCGCAGTTATACATCTGGGGACCCGGACCCCTGCCCTCTCCTGGAGAAGTAGGGGCCCGTAGCAAAGGCTCCTCTGCCCAAGGGAAAGCAGTGAGGTGGCTTGAAAGCAAGGCAGCAGGGGGCTGTCCCTTCAGGAGAGGAGCCCCAGGCAGGCTGCCTGTAGGCGGGTGACTGCTTGAGGAGGCCCTCACTCCTTCCCACTCCTGGCCACCGGCACCTTTTCATGCATTCCTCCTGACTGGGAATCTGGCTTGCCCTGGCACACCCTTCTGTGCCACAGTGTCCCAGGTCTAGCTGGTCACATCCAGAAAAGCCTGTTCCCAAGGAGGAAAAACTCCCATGTACTCAGGTCTCTACTGTGGGAGCAGCTTCAGGGCACCCCTGCTTGTGCCAGGGTCTCCGTCACATGTCCATTGCCTCGTTTTCATAGAGGGCTGGGCACCCAGGGGGTGGGGGCTAGTATCGCCTGTGTTTTATAAAGTAGGAAGGTGAGGTTCAGAGAGACTGGATACCTGCCGCAGTTGCGGGCTAGGAGGGGGTAGAGCTGGGCTTGAATCAGCCTCTGAGCTGAAAGGCCCTTCCTCTCAGCTTTGCCCACACCAGCCATGGGCTCCTCCCTTCACATTCCCTTCAGGGTGAGCTGGGAACAGCAGGCTCTGGGTGTGGGTGGGGTGGGTGGCTGGACTGTCTCAGGGGCCCCTCCTCAGGAGGAAACCACATTCTCTCTGTGCTCCAGCAAATCCAGCATCGAAGTGGGAAAACCCCACCCAAATCAGGGACAGCTGGGCCTGCCTTCAGCTGGAGCTGCCCCCCTGCCTAGCAACGCTTGCAGGCTCCGAATCCCGGCAGGCTGCAGGAGTGGGTCTGGGGGGCTAGGGTGAGGCTGGAGGGGAGGGAGTTCCTGGAAGCCCACATGTGTGAACTCTCTCCCCGTTGTCCCCCATGGAGGGAGGGACTGCACAGTGTTATTAATCATTTTCCAGAGTTGGGCACTGCTTGCACATCCCACCCTGCTGCCTGTGGGGGCCCCGGCTGGGCATGCCCACCCTGGGGAGGGGACAGGCTGGAAAAGAGGTGGATGGGGGCATGGGGAGGGCCCCCCGGCACTCCCCCACCAGAGTTGGTCAGTCACTCAGCAAGCATTCATGAGTACTCAGCATGTTAGGTATGCAGCTGTAGAGGGGATTAATACTGTCCTGTCCTCTGCCCTTGCAGAGATCATGGGTAGGTTCATTGGAGGGGGCAGATGAGGATCAAAATCATCCACAAAGAAATAATCACAGTCTGTGAAGGGGACAGGGACATAGCTGGGCAGCTGGGTCACGGATTTGTGAGGTCAGGGGTGTGAGAAGGCTGAGTCTTCCTTCTACCATGAACTTGCTTCCCAGGCCTCCTTCCCTAGACTTGCCCTCTCTGCCCCCTGTTCTTCCATCCTTGTCATCTCCCCCAGGGACAGTGCTTACTTGGTCTAGCCGCCTGAGCAATGCAGCCCACCTCCTCTCCCAAATTCTCCTCCTGGCCAGCTGCCACAAGGAACGTGACTACCCACACATCTGATGGCTGGCCTAGGGGGGATGGAAGAGAGACCGACCTCTGCCTGGCCATCCTGCCCAGGCAGGAGCTCTGGGTAAGCCGGGTGAGAAGTGAGCCATGCTGGGCCTTCAGAGCTGAGGCCCCCGGGGACGCTGGCTGGGCAGAGGGACTCGATGGCATTGGTTTTCTATTACAGAGCAGGCTTGACCTCTCAGGGCACAGGGACAGCCACTCACCCCATGCCCCCATGACCTGGTCTCTTTTGGGGCCCCAAAGGCATCTTATGAACCATATGTTCCCATAAGAACTTGTACATGAACGTTCACAAAAGCATGATGTACAAGAGTCAAAAAGTGGAAACAGCCCAAGTGTCCCTCAGTGGATGAAAGGTAAACAGAATGTGGCCCATCCTCACAGTGGGCTATTACTCAGCCATAAAATGGAACGAAGCCCTGACACACACGCACATATGGTCCTTGAGCACATGCGGAGTGAAAGACGCCAGTGATAAAGGTCACTTATGTGAAACGTGGAGGACAGACACATGCAGAGATAGAGTGTAGGTTGGTGGGTGTCAGGGGCTTGGGGAGGAGATGGGGCTGGGCTGGGAGAGTGGAAGGGGCTGGGGGTCTGGGGAGGGCTGGGGGAGGGGATCAGGGCGGGGCTGATGGGGTGGTGACTGTGTTCTCAGTACAGCTGGTCATACAGCGCTGGGACTATACTGAAACCCATTGAATTCTACATTCTAACGGCTGAATTGCTTGGTATGGGTCTTACATCTCAATGAAGCTGTTACTTCAGAGACAGGACCACGGTCTCCCATCTTAACAAAGAAGGAACCGGAGCTCCTTGCCTGACCATCACCTCCTCCAGAGACCCTTCCTTGATCTCTCTCTCTTCACTCACAGACATTCACCAGCCAGCCTTTATTGAATGCCTACTGCATGCCAGGCTCCTAGGCTCCTAAACAAAACTCCAAACATCCTAGGAGTTCTCACCTGAGAGTCAAAGACAGTGGGTGAAGGCGGGAGACCAGCTGCCAAGCTCTCTGAGCCACTCTTGTCCTCACGACCTCTTGACCCCACTCCCCCATACTCAACGTGCTGTCCTGCTGCTCTTGGTAAATTGCTCCTGGAAAGTCATGCATTCCCAGCAGGAGCACAGCATGAGCAAAGGCAGGAGGTGGACACAACTATGCCTGGGCTGTGGCAGGAGATGGAAGGGCCACCAGCGTCCAAGTGCTGGAATTAGAGCCCTGAGTGGCAGCTGCTGAGACTGTGGGTGGGTGCAGTCTGGAACCCTACCCAGGATGGCTCTAAGGAACAAATCCCATTTTAAGCTAGACCAGAAGAAGAGCTGCCTGTGACCCTGCATGTGCCAGCATGTACCCCAGACACTGCCGGACCAACCGTCCACCCACAGGGCTCCTGGCTGGATTTTGCCTTGACAAGCAGGTGCAGGCCTGGCATCTGGGACCTGGGCTGGGGCCCTGGCCAGTGGTCTTCATCCCATTGGTTGTGCAAAGCCCCCTCCAGCCAGGGCTGCTTCTGGTTGCAAGCCTTGGAAATGTCTGGGGCTCACGGATGCCCCTGCCCCTTGAAGTCACACCAGGCTGCTGGCACTTGCCCAGATGCTATTAGGCCCAGGAACAGCTCATTAACCAGCAGAGCCCAGGGCCGTGTCCTCTAGGCATTGACTGCAGAGAGGCTGGCCTCTTCTGGGAGTTTGTGCCCACCTGGCTCCAACCTTGAGGCCAGGCAGGCTGGGGCAGAGGCGGAGAGAGGACGCAGGTCAGGTTTCACGTCTGCCTGGGGCCGTTGCTCACCCTCTCTGGGCCTACGCTCTTCTTCTCTGCCTTCCTTTGCCATGTTGGGGGTTCCGGGAACCACGGGGTGGATAGGGCTCCTGCAGAGTGTCCAGGGCCCAGCGGGTCCCATAATTGAGTGGCCCCTGGGTCTCACTGCCCCTGAGTGAGCTTCTAGGACAGGACCTGGGCTCCAACTCCTCCCCCTAGCCCTTTGCTTCTCCAGGAGGAGCCACTTCATCAGTGTCGGAGTGGGTCACTGACATCCCAGGGCAGCACCAGGTGGACTAGCTGCACAGACTGACGGTGTGACACGGTAGAAGGGATCAGGGGACTGAGGTCTGAATGTCACTGGGCCCAGGGGAAAGAGGCCTGTCCCTTGGACTCTGAGTGGTGATCATACTTGGTCAGCCCTCTCCAGCCGCCTGGGCCGACCCCGGTCAACGACACGTAGACTGTCGGCAGGGCGCGCCCCATTGCCCCGGAGCCCCTTTGCGCACTAGGTTCGGGTCCACTAGCCTCCTTGGCCCACTTGCTTGGCCAGCGCACCCGCCGCGCCACCCTCGTCCGGGAACGGGGGGATCCGCTGTCACTGGCTCGGGAACCGACCCTGCCAAAGCAGCGCGTAAGGGTGAAGACGCTGGAGCCCAGCGGGATGCATCCCGGGCTCCGAGGCAGTAGGGCTCGTGGGAGCCCGCGTGTTCCAGGCGCGGCAGGGGGCGGGGCGTCTAGCCCGGCCCCCGCCTCGCGCCCGCTCCCGCTCCCGGGCGGCCCGGAGGTGGCGCGCAGAGAAGCCCGGCGCCCGCGGGCTGAACGCGGAGCGGGCCGGGATGCACGCCCTCCTGCAGCCCCCGTTCCCGAGCCTGGGCGCGGTGAGGCCCCACGGCAGGTAGCGGAGGCCTGGGCTGGGGTTCGCGCTGCGGTCGCCGCGTGCGCCGCGGCTGCTCGCCGCGCTGGTGCTTGGTGCCTACTGCCTCTGCGCCCTCCCGGGCCGTTGCCCGCCGGTCGCCCGCGTCCCCGTGGCGGCCCCCGCGCCCGCCAAGCTGGCCCGAGCCGCCCGCAGCCCAGGGGCGCCCCTGCTGACGGTGGCCAGCAGCCCCGGCCGCCGGCGCTTATCGTGGGCGTGAAGAAGGGCGGCACGCGCGCTCTGCTGCTGTTCCTGCGGCTGCACCCCGATGTCGCGCGCTCGGTTCCGAGCCCCACTTCTTCGACAGGTGCTACGAGCGCGGCCTCGCCTGGTACCGGTGAGTGCCTTGGCTGGTCGGTCCCTGGGCTTCGGTTCGGGTGAGCGCCCTGGGCGGATGCCTTCCACAGAACAGCGAGGTGCGCCCCTGGGGTCTCGTTGGAGGCGCGCGGAGCGAGGTCTCTGGGCATCGGAGCTGAGACCAGCCCTGTTTGGGGTCGAGGGTTGACCCTGAGGACGCAGCCGTCCTGCAGCAGGTGTTACCGAAAGGAGGGACTATCCCTGGTCGGGGGCTCCCAGAAACCGAAAACTCCAGGGGAAGCCCCGGTTCGAGGCTGCTGAGGCGTCCCCTCTGGCCTGGAGGGGCGGGTGCGATCCCGGCTGAGCAGACTCGAGCTGGTGGGGTTCGGGGAGTCTTAGAACTACTTGGTGCCCAGTCGCTTTTCTTACCCCCCAGGATCGCTCTGCATAGCGCGTCTGGCCTCTGATCAGTTGCCCTAGGAAGGGGCCCTGGGTTCCCCGCAGCTTCCTAGAAAGTGCCCACCCATGGCCCCAACACCCCCGTCCCTGGGAAGAGGACCCCTTCTCCAGAGCCCTGGGGTCTGGGGAAAGTGGATGTCAGGAAGGAGGAAGGTGCCTTGGAGTGAGTGCCCAGGAGTGGGAATGGGCCTCAGCCTCGCAGCGGGGCTCTGCAGCTACCCTGCCCGCACCAGGGACGTATGGAAATGCCGCAGGGAGCAATGTGGGGGAGCACGAAGGGCTGTAGGGAGCACACGGCCCAGCTGCAGCCATCTGTCCTGGTGACTGGTCGCACACCAGCCCCTCCATGCTGCGGTCAGCACGGGAGGCCCTTCCCAACGGCGCCCTGCCCCTTCCTGGGGGAATGAGGGCTTCCAGATGGGGAGCATCACTCTACCCCGGCAGCTAGTGCCTCCCCAAGCCTGGGGCAGAGAGAAACCAGCCCAGGGTCGCCTGCTGAATCAGTGGGGAGTGGAGGCTGGTGGGACCCTTCCTCCCTGCCCATTGGGATGGGCAGGTGCACCTGGGTGAGAACAGTGTTCTTTGCTCTGGGCCTTGCACACACAGGTACTGGAAGCCCTCAGCAGACCCCTGAGTGGCCTCTGACTCAGGCTGGAGAGTGGGAGGTGTCAGAACCTGGACCCACCCTCCCCACTGGCCCAAAAGTACTTTCCTACGTGAATCTTCATTTGAGAAGAGGAGAGGAGGCTATGCACATTGTTTGCGCACTCCCCACCTTCAAGGCCCTTGTCTGGCTCCCTCTCTCCCTGGTGCAGGCTCTGCCAGCCTGGGGGCCTGGGAGCACAGCTGTGATCACCTGCTGACTCCAAGGTGCCCTCTCCTCTCCGTCCAGTCTAGCCTTCCTGTGGTCAGAGTGGGCAAAGCTGGAGGGCCAGGTGGGCTGACCCTGCTCCTCACTAGGGTGGAGGAGGACCTGTGTTTTGGGTGGCAGACTGGTCCTAGGCAGATCCACAGGACCTGGGCATCTTGCTGGATGCGGGTGAAGCCAGGAGAGCCTTGATAGTGGGACAGCGAGATGTTTGCTCGTGCGGTTCAGTGCGCAGGAGATAGCAGAGCATTTCCCATGTGTTCCGAGTGCTCTGCCACTATTACCTGTTATCTGGCCCTATCTTGCCAGGTACCTTGAGGGGTTGGTGAAGAATGACTGGTGGGGAAATGAGGTTCCCAGAAACAGTCTGGCTGGTACATGTGTCTGTGAGAGAGCGGCTGAGGCCAGGCTGAAACTGGTTTCCAGCTCCCCTACTCCTCTTTCCCCTCTGCATGGTCCCTGGGCTCGTTCCCCTGCAGAGCAGGAGATCAGCAGACCATCCCCAGGACTCCCAAGGTGCACACTGAAGCCTGTGCCTTACCTCTGCCGCCTGTCACAGGAACGTCATCCATGCCAGTGACTCTGTGGAGGGGGCCAAGAGGGAGATCCTGCTGTGGTTCCAGAGCAATGAGCTGGTGGACTGGGCAGATGAAGGCCACCACGGCAGCATCTACCCAGCCTGAGCGCTCAGGTTGCCTCCGCCCCGCAAGCATCCACCCAGGACCAGCTACCTCTGTCGACACGCCCACACTCCGCCCACCTGTGCCAGACCACCTCCCAGTCCATCTTCTGCCCCACCCCAGCCCAGAGGGATTGAGCTCACAACTTTATGTGCCTTTCAGTATTGCAAACCAGCAAGAGATTGGAGGAAATTCTTTCTGTAGTGAAGTGCCAGGCAGCCTTTGGGGTGCCTCCAAAAGTGGGTAGTGTGATCTCTCCTCCAAAGGGAGAGTGCATTAAAACATTGCTGTGCATGGGAGTGGGGTGCTTATAATGGTTCCTGCATCTGGGAGGGAGGGAGGAGGCCTTTATGCAAAGTTTAAGCAGTTTGCGAATAGAAATGGAGCTTACCCTCCCACACACCAGTCGGGGATCGAGAACTGGTGAATGTGTGAGACGGGCGTGGGCCAGAGACCTACAGCCTGGAGTCTGGGGGAAGTCAAGCTGAGACCCAGAACCGGAGATGTCCTGCCCTTCTCCTCGGACCTGCTGAAGGAGCTGCATTTCTTGGGCTGGACTGGAGGTTGGCAGGAATGGGTGGGGCTGAGACCACCCCCAGGGGCACATAGCCTGGTGACCAGGCACCGTCCCATCTTCGTGGTCTCATGGCTGAGGCTGACCAGAGCTGCCTGTCCACCTGTTTTCACGTTGACACTACACCCATCACACCTCCCCCCGGGGCCCCAGGTGTGTTCGTTGTCACTGGTCATGCACTGGACACTGCACGTCATCACACCTACCGAGGCCAACTTGGTCCTCACTCTGCTTTTCGACATCCTGGGGCCGGATACCCTGGTCCTGGGTTCACGGCCTCGGTTGCTACCTGTGTCTCCAGGGAATGGCACGGATAAGGTGCCCTGATTTTTCTTCATCTGCCACGAGGCGGGCAATTCTGGGAACTGGCCCTGGGGCCGGCCAGGCGGGAGAAAGCCTTCGTTTCTCGTGCCTTCCCCCGCTCTAGTCTCCCCTCTAAGGAGCAGGGAAGGCCGGTGTCAGAGAGCAAGGCCGCTTAAATGCTGCGCGCCCCGTTCCAGGCGTTTTCAGTGAACATCGGGGCCCGAGCGCCCGCCGCGTACTGCGGGTTCCGACCGAGGCGGCGGCTCCCCGTCCTGTCGGAAGCACTCGGGAACGCGGACAGCTCGGCGCCCTCTCACCGGCGTCCGCAGCGGGGACAGGCCCACGACACTGCGCTTGCGCCCGCCGCGCGGAACGGGGCCCTAAGTCCCAGCAGGCCGCGCGGCCGCGGTGGGCGGGGCGACCGGAGGAGGGGTCGGGCTCGAGAGAATGGGCGGGGCGGGAGGAGGCCGCGAGGGGCGGGGGGGGGGGGGGGGGGGGGGG